TTTTGTTTAGTATTGCTTGACAATAATCTTTTTGACATGCCATAAAAATTATAAAAGACACAGCCTACTTGAAACAATTTCTTACCCGGCAAAGCCTGCTTGAAACAATTTCTTGTTTATGGCTATGATTCGCATGATTTTCTTCAAAACAGCATATATTCTTCAATAATTGAGATATTGACATGAACTGTTGAGGCTTAAAATTCTCATACTAGGACACATTATTCACTAATCCAATGTTTCCACAGGGTGTTCGGAACTTTTTGGCAACATGCACCTCTTAGTTACACTTTGTATAACAACAAACATTTTAAATGTTTTGCAAGATCGTCAGTCGATAATAATGACAATGAAATTACCTACATTTTGGCGAAAAAATCATGTTTATTCACCATTATCATTTGTATAACAATAATTAAAAAAAAAAACTAAATACGATGTTATTTCCGTTGCCGCTGCAAAAGCCGGTTGCTGATTCCACTGCCATTGAAGACGGCTTTGCTTGTTTTTATTGAACACTAATTGGAAATCATTATTGTGTACCTTATCAAAGCTATTATAATCATTTCCAACTAAACGATGTTATTTGTTGTATCTAGGTCTCAAAGTGGGAAATAGGTACAATTTTATGTTTTAACAAGCTTTTCGTTGACTCATGCCGGTGACTTGTACTAATAAGATTTTTTTAATTGCTGTTGAGAGCAAGGTGCGCAACTATTTTCACAGTTTAACTCCGAATACACATTATTTTAAATTATAATCCTGGTATACTAATTGTATTGTATGGGTAAATACAGTTGGTATTTCAATATCCCGTTTCAAGATTTTGTACTTTGAAGGTGCGTGTGTGCCATATATTTAGGTGAGGATCAGTATGGTAGTCCTTGATCTTTTGACATAACCTAGCGCCATAGTTTGATATTGATTCCAATACATTCTTGTTTGATTACACAATGGTGCAGAGCTCGAAAAGGTAGGTAAATACGAACCGCTCCAGACACAAAAATTTTGCTGAATAAGGTAAACGTCAAACTTGAAAAAATCACTTTTTCGGGTATATTCAAAAAATTACGAAGTTATTGGTCTAATTAATCAACAATTTGATGAAATTTTGCCTGATTAGGAATCACCATACAGGATTTAAGTTTTGGCTATTATTTTATATTTTCAGTTCTGTACTTACCTGTACTTCGTAGGTGTTTGAATATATGAAAAAAGGGTATTTATTTTATCCTTGTCTCTAGACGCTAGACTCTACATAAAAAACCTTTTTATCTACCCTCAAGAATCATATATTGTAAAGTCCGACTTTAAATTTTTTCTGCAATTTTAGATATACAACTATGCTGGTAGTTAATATGCTTACGAACAAAACTCACTCCTCACCACACCTTGAAGCAGTTAATATTCTAAAAATGTTAAAGATTACAATGCTAAAATAATACTTTCTTACTCCTCGAAAAATATGAGGAATTTTAGAAAAGCTGTAAAGCTGAGGAAATTTATTATAAGAATCCCATTTTACAATACTTCCTGAGCAGTTTTTGGAATTGAACAGCCTAATTATTTTGATACAGTTTTATAAATTATGGAACCGTTTCCGAATATTGGTTCCCTCGTTTTGAAAATTTGATAATTCTCAGCAGATGCGTCATCAGCAACCTGAAAAGTACGGATATTGTTTCTTAAAAACGGTTGATATCAAAATCAAACATGAATAAATTTCTTGAAACAACCGCAGATAGCATTACATTGATGTAGATGGAACAGTCAATACTATCGAGGCGCGTTCCAATTTCCAAAAATATTATTTCCAAGTCATTATTATACAATGAAAAAAAATAGCAATATATTGCGTTTCTGGCGAACTAAATGAGTGAATAGTTTTCGTTGGATTAAATCGTCGCCTAAGTTCTACCACAGCTTGACTGTCAATTTTTTAAAAGAGCAAAACAAGAAAAAACTGTTCCCAATGACGTCACCTTCATGCCTATTTCTCCGGAATCAAGAGGTGTTTCGCACATCTAGTGGATCAAATACAATAGTTTCAGAATAGTCCCAAGAGTCACCTATTGAATCCTTGCCCGATGTTTGGGAAACACCCTGTACAGGTCTAAAGACAAAACGATCGTGCTAAGTGTCAAAAATATGAAGTAGTATATATGTTAATATTTGTGTTTAACTATTACGGTTAGATAAATATGATCCTTATCATCGCCTTTCAATCAATGAAGACGCTCTTGCCTAATTTTGTCGGTCAAAACGTATTTTTATCATATTCTTACAGCGCTTAAGGCTCCCGCAAAAAGGTTTTTTTCTCAGATTGCTGTCCGAAAGTCTGAATTTTCAATTAGCCACCTTAATCACAGAACACATGAGTCTCAATTTCCAATAATGCACTAATGGACATACAGTGGTACCAAGCCGAAAAATGTAGAATCATTGTTTTATCTATATTTCGATGCGCTCACAAATTAATCAGGGTTGCCAGGTGTGGTAAATTTTCAACTTTTGATTTTTTACTCATTTGTATCCATCACATATTTTCAAAAAATCCTATTTCATTCCCTTTAAGGTTTCTGCTGGGTCTTTCCAGCCTGTTTTTCTGTTCTAGATACTGTTGCACTACCATGTAGATCCTCAATAACGATATTCTGAAAATCAAAACACATTCAACGACTTTCACTTACATGTCGACCCATGAGCTATGGTATAAATGACTCTTAGATAACTACCTAGCCGAGTTACGTAAAATACAAGATAAACTTTATCGCGTCCATCTGTTACCACTTGTGCAATGTACGTTTGGATTTGGTGCAAATTTATCGCAATAACGTGACGTACGACCTCCGATTTTGTCGAAAACGAAAACACACTGCATCAACTATCGAAAACAGTGGAAATATTTATTTAAAACAGATAGAGAATTATGCAGAACTATCGTGCTTTATATAACTAGATATTTATGTTGTGTCTAAGAAAAAGGTTAAGTTTAGAATATTCATGGCAATTATTGCTTCACAGGAATTATTGATAAAAATATTCATACAGGGTCTAAAATAATAATAGTCGTGTATATTCCTACACTTAACAGATTGATTAATGTTTGCAACCGAATACAGAAGTTTTATCATTAAAAAATAGTGTATACAAAAGAAAGAATAATAAATCATAATACCTCCTAATATACATATATAAAAATTGCGTCCAGTAGGTTCACTTGGCACTTTCTATGCAACGCAGTAATCAGTTCATAAAGGATTAAGTTCAGCACAAGTTAAACCCTCTGAGAAAAATTATTACGAACATGCACACGAAATTAAATGGATCAAGTCTGCTAAACAGGCCCATACAATTAGTTCATAGACATTCTTTCCCGGCACTTAGGTACTGTTCATCTGGCAACGTTGTCCCTTCCCATACGGTCATACGTGGTAGCGCCCACCAAAACATCGCCGCAGTACAAGCAGAACAATCAACCTCGCTACTCACCAGCCTATCGGTCAGACCCTATGTTTGTTGCGTTGCGGGTCACGCGTATATTGAACATATTTCGCTGTCACTCTAGGTTTTAAAGACAAATGTAAGAGTAAACCTATGGTATTTGAAAGATGGCTAATTATTGTGGTTGGAAGTGTATAAATATAATAAAATCAAAAAATTGAGACCCTATAACACCCCACTCCCTAATTTTTTGCACATTTTACAAAAATGTTCAGGATTCCTTGGAACGTCAAAAAAAAACAACGTTTGAGCGATTTTTTTTTCGTTTTTGTTTTTTTCTCTGCTGCTACAGGATCGATTTTCAAAAATTACAAATCTTTTCCGTCTGTGGCGTAGTAGTAACCTTGGGTAAAAGGTTCATCCAAATCCGTACAGTATTTTCCAAGGAGACAGACAGACAGGAGATGAATGACCTAGTTTTTCGTGATGTACATCAAAAAAAACATTCTCTATAAAGTTTTCGCGATTACAATACTTTCTCGCCCATTGGCGTAGGAAGTAAAAAATGGTAAAATTAGGTGTATAGTGTATGTTTTTAGTGAAGCAATCTAAACACGGAAAATATACGATATCACAGTTATTTAGCACGGATATGACTAAACCCTTGCATAGTTATTTACGAAGTCTAAAAAATTAGTGTCGGTTTGCTATTAGTGTACTTAATTAACCTGAGATATGTTTATAAGATAAAGAGTTTCGATCGTTACTTCTAGAGCTAAGTAAAATATAGTTTTCCGTAAAAAAATGTGTAAAACTATTTATTTTTACAGTATTATTCAATTTTTGACTTATTTGCAATTTCCGAGAAATTAAACTTCAATACATATAAGTAAATACCACATACCACATTATTCGTGGATAACGAGGATTTGCAGTGAATGGAGGGTAAACACTAAACATCTTTTTTTTCAACGAATCGTGAGATTTATTAATTTTGAATTGTGATTTCTGGAAAACTGCAAATAATCCTAAAATCTAATTCAACTAACCAAAAATTGGATGCTTAAATGAAGGTTATAAAAGGATAAACCAAAATCTTGAGAATATATAGGGCGTTCCATTTTTTTTTGAGAGAGAAAATACGTTTCGTTTATAACCACCCTATATGTATAGATGTTTTACAAAATGCTTAAATGTCTAAGAACTACGGGATATGAATCTTACGTTGGAGAAAAATTTGCTACTCTATCTGCTAAAGAAACTAATTTACAAGCTGTCAAAGTTAAAATATACATAGTATTTCGAGAGCTTATAGTTGCCCACAATTTTTGCGAATAACTCTCAGGTATATTTCATAACAATGTAGTTGTCGAACGATTACACACTAAAAACTCACCCTGTTGATATTCTTGCTTGAAATGATCGGAAATATATATCTATCCTCCTTCATCAAACGTTCACCTCAAACAGTAATTTGCGATCTATTTAGATAATACCAGCATATAATAAAAAATGAATCAAGCTTTGAAATATTAATCAGTTTTATTTTGTTGCAGAATAATTTTGCTGCTGGCAGTTGATCGTGACTTTTGGTAAGTACTTTAGAATGCTTATAGTTTAAGGAGCTTAAGTTATTGCTAATTTTGACACTATCAAAAATTTTGAATCTTTAAATCTGTTTTTTATATTTGTCGCTTCCAAAAGGTGATACTGATGTTTTTTATTCTTACTGACTTGTTCTCGACTATTATTGAAGAAAATCTGTTTATGCATTTTCAATGTAATCTTTTCATGATTACAAAACCTTCTCGCGTATGCGTAGCAAGTAGCAAGCAATAATTTGTATCCATCACTAAGAATCTTATCAGGCTTGTTAAATCTTGCGCATACGATGGTTGTTTCACAGTTTAAGATGGCGTGTTTGCATAACATACTTTTTTTGCAGGAAATTATATGTAGGTCAGAACAAGCGATTAAAAAGAAAATTGATCGCGTAAGTTTAACTGGAAAGTAAATGAGAGCAAATGAAGCAGTACAGCGAATCTGTGGCGTAGAAATTGCAACTGGAGAAATAGAAAACTGGTCTAGTTATTGATAATATCAATAATTAGTCGATATAAATTATTTTTTCCTACTATCGACCGAAAAAGTACTTTGGTCGTTATTTTTATTTTCCCGTGGCCGATTAAAATTAATAGCCCTGCCGCTCCGCATCGGCAAAGTAATATAAACGGTTTCTAAGACCTTATACGCCCAAACATTTCGTTGCAATGAAAATCTTGTAAGCATATATTGCCAGAAAATCAATCTGGCTTCCGCCAATCTTACTCGACTACTACCGCTGTGCTCAATATATAACTGATAATATAATACGGGCTCAAGATAAAAATATTGCCTCCATTTTGGTCTCGATCGATTAGTCTAAAGCTTTCAACAAATTGAATCACTAGCAGCTTCTTGCTAAATTGGAGTATTTAGTTTTCGAAAAAATATATCTATATCGTTCTCCATGGACTATTTTGCTAATCGTTCCCAATGTGTTATTGATAATACTTTTTCTAACTCTACTAACATCATATCTGGGCCTGTTTTAGGACCCTTGTTATTTTTAATATACTATATATTACTGATTTGCCTTCTATAGTAGCTAACTACAATACAATTGCTCTACCATTTTGATCAGCAAGCAGTCGTCGAGCTACAAGAACATATTGATGCCCTTTATAACTAAAGCTTAATTTGATGATAAATTCCTTAAAATCTAAAAGCATGTTATTCTGCTCTAATATTAAAGGTGAGCGCATCCTCCAAACGTTTCATCCAAAAATTGGATCGGAACGCATAGAATTTAGCAATGAGTCTAAAATACTTGTCATTTTAGATACTAACTTAAGATTCAAAAGTTGTGTTTCTAGCATATTAAAAAATTCATTGGAAATTACGTGTTTTATATGCAAATAGACTTCTTCTGCCATCTGCATTGCGAAAAAAAGTTAGCTGAATCCCTTGTTCGCTCAATTATTAATTATAATTCTTTACCAGCCTTGCTTGGATCAGCTCACTAAAAGGAGTTTACAAGCGATTGAAAACAACTATGTCAGAGTCACGTGTGGTTTAAAAAGATACCACCTTGTTAGTCATGCTAACAACACGCTTGGGTGGATGAAGCACGACTTCATTATTTGGTTTCCTTCCATAAACTGCTTGCAACTGGTAAACCCAAGTATTCAAGAGAAAAACTTATTTTTTCAGGAAAACTCTTATCGACTACTATTTTCCTATAATGCTGCTAGTATCTATAATAATTTTCCTGTAGATCATGAATCTGTCCTGTTTCTGTACGCATGTTAGATTATACTTACAGAGCTTCACATTATAATTTCTCTTTTCTTTGTTCAATTTCTGTTAATAATACATATATAAATTAGTTTATGGGCACACTATGTTTGAAGGCATTTAAATTAGTTCCATGTTTGGTTTAACTAGGTTCAATAATTCTGTGAAATTGCAATAGAAACACTTTGTTTTTTTTTATTCTCCAACCACCAGAAAGGCCTAAGGCCTGAACACCCATGGTGTACCGTGGGGCTATAGGGGCATACAGGGAAAAGGGGGAACGCCACCCAGGCTCTGGCGAGGGAACACGTGTGCATGCAACATGCACACATTCTGGCCCCGCCTACGAGATCCGCCGGGTGGTACCTCTGCGTCCAGTCAAAGACCGTCTACCACCTACGGACAATCACAACATCCATAGCCAAGAGAAAAATTTCTCTTGGGACGGGATTCGAACCCGCACAGCGCACGGCGACTGATCAGGAGACCGAAGAGTCTACTACGGCCACCGCTGCTGCCTAGAGCGAGTGTACAATCTTTATTTCGTATTCATATGCTCAAATGCTTTTGCTAAACTTCGTCATAATGAATCGCACGTATGTAGCTTTGTAAATAAAGACGAAATTATTATTATATGATATATCGTGTTTTTTCTAGCCAGGAATTATATCGTAACACATTTTTGTTAACGAAAAGATTAGAGTACATAACTTTTACGACGCATAACATTGAATGAGGTCGACTGAAACAAATGGTTTTACTTTTATTCATTTTAGGGAAGGATTTATTGTAATCGCAAAAATAGAAGATGATGGTATTTGGATCATCACGAAAAACCTCTAAAGCCGCGTACAGACCGAGATTACAACACAAGCCAAGGCACTTGTGGATGCAGATTTGGAGGTGTTCGAATCGGTGTGTCAAAGGGAGGTTTGATTTGGTCTGGACAGGATTTGTTGCGCTTCTAGGATTTAGTCTGTCTGCATTCAATGAAAGGAGACTTGTCGCTCGACATTAGCACCGAACTTGAATAACGCGATCTAACCCGAAACTAAATGTAGGTGTGGACGAGCGCATTCCAATACCTTCCAACAACAAACGCCAACGTCACATGTGCTTGCATTCGTTTGCTCGGCATTGAATTTTCTGTCTGTACGCGGCTTAGCACTCAGTTCCGTCGATATGTCAGTCTGTCTGTTATTCGTTCACCTTAACTTGGAGAGTCCGGTCGAATTTTGACACAATGCTCCACGGGTGCTGAAACTGCGTTTGAATGGCTCCTGATCATTTCCACGAGATGTGGGACTGGAAGTTAGAGGAGGTGGGGGAAGGTATATCTCAATGTTTTGCGTTAAAGTGGTTCTACGCTTTCAATACCGGAAATTCTAAGCACATGTTATTCATATTTCATACATGATTGGTTTCTTTGTATATTTGCCCTTACTTTGATACAGAGATATTTTCAATACACGCGACCCTGCAGCGAACGTAGGGTCTTACCGATAGGGTGGATTTGCTGGCTAGTTCCGAGGATAGTCATAGCAACGTTGTCAGATGGTCTGTAAGCCAGGGGAAGATCGCAACGTGATCAAGGGTGTGGTGACTATGATCTAATTGTATTTTGTTATACGTATTCGTGGCAGACTTTTTCCTCGGAAGACTAACTTGTATCGAACATGGAACATCATCCTTTATGAACTGATTACAGCGTTGCGCGGGAAATGCGAACTCAACCTACTTCCGCCATTTTCTTAATGAAGTTTCGTGGATGTATCATTGAAACGCCCAATTCTTGAATCCCGAGAACATTTTGTCGTGGGAAATATCTGTTAACGATTGTCAAAGATGTTAAATCTTCCCATAGGAAAACATATAGTCCATCATACAGGGTTTTATGTTCTGTAAATCCGATTTTTCCTACATCAGTCGAAAGCTCGTCGTTTTTAGCTGAACTAACTCCACTAACTCCAGTTGACAATTGTAGGCTTTTGCACGTTTTTTGTTGATTACATCACTATGCCATAGGGAATGAGTGAACAGATTGAGTAACCATGTGCGGAGCTTAACTTCTGTGAAGGAAATTGTAAACTGATCTTTAACGTAGCTGCTTCTCACTCTTCTTTTGCATACACTCATGAATTGGGTGACAAAGGACCCTTGCATTTCATTCGCTTTATGAAAATACTCCAATAGTAAGTTTAATACATACTATTGACTTTTTAGTTCTACCTTCTATCATTGGTATGTTTGATATCCAAGATCAAGAAAAGACAAGCGCAAATAGCACGCCCATGGCAAGCAAATTGTCATACTGTCAACATTATATGTCAACTGAGGCCTGGCAATGATGCAAATAGTTTGCAGTCGTCTTTTGTCTGATCAAAAGCTAATTGACAGTTTGAATTTCAATCTATTCCTGATATCAATTCGACAAAATGTCAGTTATGTTCATTTATATCCTTTTATTTGTATATTGCATGTGTCAAGCACAAATATTTCTGTAATATTCACTTATACATAAATAAACTTATTAGACTCCCTTCAATAACAAAATAACTAAAGAAAACTGGAACTATGAAGGACAAACATATATAGACAAAACAAAACAATCATATGAAAAGAAGCAAAATTCATTGAATTATAGAAAACCAACCATGTTTGTGTTAATATTTTGTAGCATGACCATTTTTATCAATCACCGCCTGGCATCGTCTCGGCATAGATTGTAGAAGTTTCTTGATATAAGATTCATCAACATGTCTCCACTTTTGCTCTAAAGCGGTAAAAAGTTCATCCTTGTTTGAATAATTTTTATCTCGTAGTTGCTTATCTAAGTATTCCCATAGATTTTCAATGGGGTTTATATCGGCAGACTGTGAAGGCCATTTGAGAACTGGTATTTTTTCATCCAGAAAAAATTTCTGTTCGAGATTGAAGTGTGTTTCGGGTCATTATCTTGCTGGAAGATTGATCTTAAGCGCATATTGTCTTCCATATTGGGTAACATGACATGCTTTAGTATGTCTGTGTGTACAAACTTATCCATAATGTCATCTATTCTATGTAGAGGTCCTATCCCAAACCCCGAAAAGCACCCCCAAAGCATAACAGACCCGCCTCCATGTTTGACAGTGGGCAAAGTGTACTTGGGGTTCAATCTTTGTCCACTAAGACGTCTAACGTAATGAACACCATCTGATCCAAACATATTGAACTTGGATTCGTCACTGAAACGTACCCTCTTCCAGTCACAGAT